AACTCTTTATTTCTAATTTGCTGAGACTCCTTTTTAAAAAAAATCATAAATGTGACAAAGAATACAGAATTTACAGGAAAAAATAAAAATATAAAAACCATAAATATATATTACATTTATAAAATGGTTTTCTGTATATAACACACTTCTTTTTAATTCTGTTTAATGTGGTTGACTGATTTGCAAATGTCAAGCCAGTTCCCGTAATAAACTTCTGTTGGTCTTAATGAATTGCTGTGTATAAAATGAACTTTTTGTCATTATGAACAATCCTTCTTTATTGCTAGTAATGCTTTTAACTTTAAAGTCTACCTTGATATTTATATAGTGACAATTTTTTTTAAAGATAGTTTTGCATGGTATTTTTTCTATCCTTTTATTTTCCACCCTTTTGTATTCTTGTATATTAGATAAATTCCTTAAAAGCAGCAGAAAGCTTAAAAAAAAAAAAAAACCCAAAACCCTGATAATCTCTTTCTTTGGAGTATTTAGTAAATTTACAATTAATATAATTACTGATATATATGAATTTAAATCTACTTTCTTACTACTTTCTATTCATTTAATCTATTCTTTGTCGCCATTTCTCTCCTTTCTTGACTTCTTTTGGATTTTTTTTATTATTCCATTTCCTTCCTTCTAATAGCTTAATGGATATATATTATTTTATACCGCCATAAATTCTGTATAACAAGTGTTCTAATAAGTCATTTATTAAAATTTTATTTTGTTTCTGACAGACTGAAATGATAAATGAGATCTGTTTTCTTATTGGCAAACATAATTTTGATAGCAAGCTTCCCAAACAGCAGGACATCATACCCTGACATGATTTATACTTATCTTCACAGACAATTTAGTTAGAAAGACAGAGAATCCAAGAAAAATACTGCATACTCAAAGTCCCAACCATTCATGCAAAATGTTTATTTGGCCATAATCTCAAAGTATATTCCTAACTTGTTTCTTAAGTCTCACATTGGTATTTGCAAACCTAAATTGCCATTTAAAATGACATATCTGTATTTCTTCAAGAATAGCAGGGTTGAAACTAACAGTAACATTAAGACAGCTTTCTAGAATATGCACAAAGCTTACAATTTACAAAGCACTTTCAGAGCTATTTAATCAAAGCAGGAATTTATAAATGCAAAGAAAACAACTTACCAGGAGACGAAAATGATTAAACTTGTAGATGGCGAAAATGTAGTTTTTAGAAAATATATATTTACATACAGTAAAGCATAGAACACGGCTTAACATATTTGAAAAACAGTGAGAGATGGTAGAAAAAAGGAAATGTGTTCACTTACGTTCTTTAAGTAATATTCCCTTGAAAATATTCTAATTAAACAGCATTAGAAAACCCTGCCTACACCTGGGTCAGCAAATTACAGCCTGTGGGGCCAAACTGACCACACCCATTCTTTTCCTTACTGTCTATAGCTGCTTTTGCTGCAGAGTTGAGTTGTTGCAACACGAGACCATATGGCTCACAAACTGAAAATATTTACTATCTGGCCCTTTACAGAGTTTGTGGATCCCTGGCCTATAGCAGACTTTCGTCTCTCCTATCTGCCTGGGCAAATCCTATTCCTTCTTCAAGTTATCTTCAGGCATGCTAGAAAAGAGGCAAACTGGGAAGAGAAAGACAAACAAGGGAAATTCAAAAAGGGGACAAGAATTTTACCTTTCTCCCTCTGACCTAATATATGTACTTTTCAGTGATGTAATTGTTCTTCTGAGAATGCCAATGAGATGCAACAGCCCATTCAATACTTAAATGGGAAGAAAGGAAAGGAGGTCTCTTTTTGGAGCCCACTGACAGACTTACCTTCGGCAGAGTGAATACATCCTGTTGGAGGCGGTGATTCGAAAATACTCTGGTTTTGAACGGGAAGAGCTGCCACTTATGGTTCCTAAACCTAAACGCTGATAGTCTCTGAAACAAGCTTTTTCCACTAACTGTTCCATTGTAGACTTCTCTGAGGCTTTCAGGGTGGTACTTGTGGGGAGTTCACTATCATCTGAAACTGTGATGGCAGAGATAGATTTTGAAAAAATTATTAGCTCAAAGTATAGGATTAAAAATTTCCTTTTGAAGAGGATCCTTAAACCAAGACAGGGTTATATTAATATAATAATAATAATAATTATAATATTAGGGCTATAGGTATTATGTATACCACAAATTAAATCATGTAACTTCTATGAGGAATCATATCCAAATAAACATAAGGTAAAACAGTTATGAATAGTCAAGAAATGAAATATCAGTAATTTAACTAAAAAATATCAGGAAAATAATACCATTTAAATAATTTTTAAAAACAATATAATTTTGAATTCATTACCCATATTTTTCTATTTCATTCAGGCTTGCTTATCAATGCCAAATTGCAGTGATTTCTATTTAAAAACACCCAAAACATCAGTTTGGGTGTCTAAAAAAACACCCAAACTTTGTCAGAGGCTAACCTGTCAGTAAAGTTTATTTTTAATATGATCACTACACAAAACTCATCATCTAGGTTTCAGTTTACTTTTCAGAGCATAAACTTTTATTAGAAATTTCTGGATTTGCCAGAAATTTACTGGAAGGAAAAAGACCTTTCTTTCCTTAGAGAAGTATAATATAAAGAAGTTATACTTTTTTTCCTGGAAATATTTTTGCCAGAGGATGTTGTAGGCATGGGAAACTCCTTCACAGTTTTGTAATCATAGGTTACAGAATCCTTTAAGATTTTAGATGTGGAAGACTTTACTCAATGATCAAGTATTTTAGGGAGGATTTTTTTTTTTAAAGGACATTCTTAATTGAGTACTGCATGTTCTAACTTAAAAAAAAATATTCCATGTTAAAAATTGTCCTAATTTACTTTCCTATTTATTTTTAAAGTAAGAGAAGTCAAATCAAGCTTTCAAAGTTTTTGGAAATGTACTCAAAGTACTATTGTGCAAGGGAAAGATATGGCCTTCTTCCATTAAAATTAAAAAAAAGAAGAAGAAAACCAACAGCTTATCCCTTTAAATATAAGACTTTGTCTTTCAATTTGTTAACTTCACAATGTACTCAGGTATCAATTTTGTGTTCTCCTTTTATTTTCAGAGGAGCAAAGAACATTATATAATTTGGTCTTTTGGTGGAACAACTGTCATAGAATAACAGGTTTTGTTCCATGAAATAATAAAAACATTGAGTTGGAAGAGTCAATAGTGATGGGGAGCAGTAATATTTCTGTGGCTTTACATATGACTGTGAGGAGGCCAGGGGTCCAACACTTCAGTAATGTGATGACGGGTATTTTCATTGCCCCCAGAGGCAAGTTTGTATGTACACATTCTCACTCTGGGCATGTACACAAACACACAAAACCACATAGGTTCTTTATCCCAGCAAGCTGAAATGGAGAACAGTCAGTGCTCTCTCTAAAGATGAGATTTCTTTTCTTAAAAATGTTGCTGTTATTAGTAGTAGTTGTACTAGCAGTAGTAAAAACATCACTTTTTATATGGCAGTACACTAATTTCCTATAAAACACCATCATCATCAGGACACTGCTATAGGCAAAAAGTGCAAGTGATTGATTCTAAGATCCTAAGAAGGAAAAAGCTGTAATGACATTCTGCCTCCCATTACATCAGATTCTCTGTAGTGTTAATTCCACAGCATACTTGAATGCTGGGTTAAGAATAGGAAACACTCACTCAACAAGACATTTTGCTACTGACTTTCTGCCTCTATTTTCCCAACTAAGAGGTATCTTAGCTGCCCAAATTCTATACTTTTAAATATTGAGGAGGTATTTTTTTCTTTTTACCTAAGAATTCCTTCACCTTAGGTCCCCCATTTTGATTAAGAGTACTAACAATGTTCTTACCAAAAACCCAAATCTTCAACTTTGAACATTCAATGTTCTTATTCTTTAAGAATAAGGTAGAGGGGACTACCCTATTCCTAAATTGCCTATGCAGTAGAGTCTCCTTCTTTTTCCCTTTAATGAGACCCACATAAAACTGGCCAATCAGCTGTATGTATTTAGTAAAGTATAATTTAACAAAATCTTATCTGAACAATGGAAAATTGGGAAAATAATTTTTTTTTCCAGTTCTGAGAAGCTGGTAAGTGCTTCCACAATCTTCTCATGAAATGTAGGTTTCTGTGAGTCAAGGTTTAAGTGCAACTATATCTTAGTCTTTTATTCTTATTCACATAAGAAAGAATAAAGTTGAATCACAAAGGAAAAATGAGTTCTCACATACCAGATATGTCATCTTCTTCATTCCATCCAGGACGATTTACTCTCTCTTCCACAATTGTCCCTGTCCTCCTCTTCAATAAATACTGCCGTCCAATTGTCATTTTCCCTGCTCTTTTGGCACCTTTCACAATTGTTTTTGAGAAGGTGCTATAAGTCATAAAACCAAAAAGAACGTCAATTTAATATGAAAGTACCACTTATATTTTTGATACCTACATGGCTCAAATTGTTTCTTCTCCATTCCCACAGCCACTAGTATTGTCTGGACTTTGATTAATTCTCTCCTCCTTCTTTTTTTCTTTTCTTTTTTTGAGACAGGGTCTTGCTCTATCTCCCAGGCTAGAGTGCAGTGGCATCATCATGGCTCACTGCAACCTCAAACTCCTGGGCTCAAGCGATCCTCCTGCCTCAGCCTCTCTAGTAGCTGGGACTACAGGCATGTGCCACAACGCCTGGCTAATTTTTCTATTTTTAGTAGATACAGGATCTCACTCTTGCTCAGGCTAAGCCTCCTTCTTTACATCACTTTTTATGTGGAAGTAGACTAATTTCCTATAAAACACCATTGTCATCAGGACACTGCTATAGGCAAAAAGTACAAGAAAAGCTAAAGTGCGACACAAACTTATCATCCCAAATCTAAACTCCACGGTTTGGCTTTTTTGGTCAAGACTGCCCTGGACCCACTCTGGTTGTCCCCATACCACTGTCCCCACCACTGTTCTCACCACTGTTCCCACAAAGCATGCTTGTAGAGATCCTCCTACATAGAAAGCCAGCCTGCCCCCTTCTCTACTGATTCAAACTCTCTTTCAACCAACTCACTGGCCTTTCTTTGAGATGATATGACAATTATAGTTGGTAACATCTTTACTTATTTCTTAAATGTTTTATGTATGTATATGTGATATCCTGCCTCTAAATAAATAGCTGTAAACCTTCTGAGGGATAGAAAAAAATAATATAATTCCTTTTTTGAGAGGAGAAAAATAAGAAATCAGAAATTTGAGTATCCTTTTGAGAATCAGCTTTAATTAAAGAGAAACTAGGATGTAAATCATTTGGACTTACACATACATTATTCGAACAGTTTACCCTTTCTTGCTGATAGGAAATCAAGGCACAGAGTATTTACAATACAGAGAATTAAACGAAGAACCTATTTCCTGACTAATCAGATGGAGGTGAAGATTTTGAATAAGATTGTTCTTGATTATGTTCTTCTCTACCACAAAGAATAGAACTCTTTTTGTGTTCTTTTGCTATTCAGTAAAAAGTGATAAGAATTCTTTTATTGTCAAATAGTTTCACCAGACCTTGTCTTTAGGCATCCCCAATGTAAACCTGAAGGTTATTACATAAGTTTTAGATAATTGTTGGGAGTCATAAAATACTGATATTTCTTAAATTAAACCTATTGTAAAATCACTTCAGATATAACTTAAACTCAATGGTATTTCTGAAATTGTTTCCCAGTTAAAGCTATATCCTTTGTTTCATGTACTTAAGGCAATTCTTATAATTTTTAAATTGCTGTATCTCTGTTGCTCTGCTTTATAAGCAGCTGATACAACAGGCTTGATACAGGTATATATTTCTGAAACTAATATAAACATACATGTTTCTGATAGTTTCTAAACATAAAATACTGTACAAAGCTTTGTTTCTTCCATTGAAGGCTAGGATAACAAATATAGGCTCCTCCGTGACCCAACAGTGCTAAGATGCTTTGCTCACTGATGTAAATCCCTAAGAAGCTGTCATGCTTCGGCATATCATACCTGGATATTCATGGTCTCCTTTGCTTACCAGGTAATAAAGGTGGCTAGCTACGCAACTGAGAAATGACATACTGTCTGGAACCTCAAATCTTCTATAATCTCCCATCTACCCCACTTTTAGACAAAGGAAAAGCCTTTTCTCCAAAGTCTGCAAAGCTCTCCCTAATATATAATTTGTACTGTCAGATACCCAAATTCTACATGATTAATGGTGAATGAATTGAAAGTGTATTCCCTATATTTTATTGCTGATGGATGAAACACTTGTTATTTTGTAATAACTGAAATTTAAAAGTTTCAACATAAATTTCTAAAAACTTTCATCACAAAATAAGGGTTCACACTAAAGGAATATGACAATCAAATGCAATGCCTGATCCTGGACCAGGGGAAAAAAGTAGCTATCAAGGATCATTAGTATAATTTGCATATATAGACTTTGGGTTAGGTAAGCGTTTTATATCAATTAAATCTCCTGGTTTTGATTACTCTATTGTGGTTATATAAGATAATGTCTTTGCTCTTAGAAAATGTATATTAATATATTTAAGGAAAAAAGGGTGTTTTTTTATATAACTCAAATGGTTCAGGGAAAAATATATATATGAGAGAGGGAATGATAAAGCAAATGGATCAAAATAGAGACCACTGGTGAACCTGGGTCAAGGATACATAGGAATTCTTTGCATTACTGTTATAAATTTTCTGTAAGTTTGCAACTGCTCAAAATAAAGAGTTATCAAAAAAAAAAAAGAAAGAAAAAAGAAAAAAAAGAAAAGAAAAGAAAAATAAGAAAAAGGCTCCTCTTTCTAGATCACAGCAAAACTATTAGACCTAGATATGGATAAAAGCTGAAGGGATTGCTCAAAGGCATTTAAAAAGTGATCAACATGGGAAAAAGAGAAAACAGAATTTTACATGTAAAAAATGCATTGTGAGGAATGGACATGATAGTCAAAGCCTCTGGTAGCTTTAAGTTTTTGAAACTTGTTACATATATCAATGCTGCTGTTCCATAACTTTATGAGCTTGGCCCAATGGGCTTGACAGAATGGTGAATAAAAAGAGCAATCACTTACACCTTGACACAAGGGATAGGATAGGTCACTTCCTCTGACTTGTGGGAGGGCTGAAATTAAGAGAATTGTCTTTCATCTTACCGAAAAGAAGTGTTCTTTTCCTTCTGTTTTGGTAAAATTATTTGTGGGGTTGTTTGTCCAGCAGCAAAAGCAAAGGTACTGAAAATGGACTGAGGGTAACGGAACTTCATCAGCTGTTTCTTAAAGATCTCTACTACTTCTGGACTCACTTCTTCATCAAATGCTACTTTAATCAACTAGAGACAAAGAGATTAAACACATAATATGCATTAAGGGTTTCTAGACAACTGTCCCCCAAATTACTGAAATAATAGAATATAATACTACTAAATGGTCAGACTTTTGGAATGAAGGGATTTTGGATAACATGGAATACAATTTTTTTTTTTTGAGACAGAGTCTCACTCTTTTGCCCGGGCTAGAGTGAGTGCCGTGGCGTCAGCCTAGCTCACAGCAACCTCAAACTCCTGGGCTCAAGTGATCCTTCTGCCTCAGCCTCCCGAGTAGCTGGGACTACAGGCATGCGCCACCATGCCCAGCTAATTTTTTCTATATATTTTTAGTTGGCCGATTAATTCCTTTCTAATTTTTTAGTAGAGACGGGGTCTCACTCTTGATCAGGCTGGTCTCGAACTCCTGAGCTCAAACAATCCGCCCGCCTCGGCCTCCCAGAGTGCTAGGATTACAGGCGTGAGCCACTGTGCCCGGCCATGGAATACAATTTTTTAATTTTAAAAATAAAAAAGTGAGGCTCAAAAAGGTTTACTTGCCATAGATGGTTATTTGGCAAGGAAAATCATGTATCTTGAAGCTAGATTTCTTTATGACTATGTCTTCTAGGATGGGATTGGCAATTAACTTGTAGTGGCTGAAGTAGCAAACGTGCCCTTCTCATTTCTCAATTGGTTGTTACGGATGTTGGGAATTTGGCCTAATAAACTCCCTTCCTACTCAGTGATACAACAAATTTAGGAAGAAAAAAAATCAGTTTTACTAGAGTTCTAATAGTATAGTCAGGAAATATTTGAGTGTAGAGTTCTTTGGTACTTGGAACAGTGAGGAAGTCAGTCCCTAGGCAGTCAACACTCTCAGGTGATAGGAGAAGGTCTGGAACCTGAAGATCAGCAGCCTCACATTTCACACAGTTAGTGTAAGAACCACCAGGGAGGGCTCTGTGACTAGAAGGAATGAGGCAAGAATTGGAATCCTTGCAAATCTGAGAAGTTAGAGACAAGGCATGAAGTATAGGAAAAGCAAAATATTACAGACTGAGAATTTTTTTAAAAGGAGAAACTAAGAAAAGGTCACTTCTTACAGGGCATTGGTAATTCCATGAATTCTGATACATTCAGAGCCCCCTGGAAAAACCCTTGCTTTATCAGGGGTTATGCAGTTAGTAGCAACAGTACTTTAGCCTTAGTTATCCTTTTTACCTCTTTCACAGAAAAGCCATAGGAATTTCCTTCTGAAACAGATGCCAAGAGAATTGCATTCATGTAAAGGCTTTATCGAACAGGGATTGAAGTATAATTTGGCAGGGAACAAGAGCCAATTGTGTATGTCTGAGTTACTAAGATCACTAAATATTGATAGACAATCCGTTGGTACTCTGAGTTCACTAAGGTGCTCATGAATGAGGGATTAAATCCAAGACTATTCATGAGTTTACTGAGTTGAACATTAGCCTCTCAGACTCTCTGATCTCCTCGTCCTCATCCTCTAACTTCTGACCACATAACCACAGAAAATGGCCACAACATCATTAGATTTTTGAAAATTCTGAATAGTAAAAGAATGGCTTCCTCTTCTTTTCTTTTCTTTTTTAAAGAGTCTTGCTCTATTGCCCAGGCTAGAGTGCTATGGCATCAACCTAGCTCACAGCAGCCTTAAACTCCTGGGCTTAAGCGATCCTCCTGTCTCAGTCTCCTGAGTAGCTGGGACTACAGGCGTGCACCACCACGCCCAGCTACTTTTTTCTGTTTTTAGTTGTCTGGCTAATTTCTTCTGTTTTTAGTAGAGACAGGGTCTCGCTCTTGCTCAGGCTGGTCTTGAACTCCTGACCTCAAGCAATCCTCCCTCCTTGGCCTCCCAGAGTGCTAGGATTATAGGCATGAGCCACTGCACTCAGCTGGCTTCCTTTTTTAATACCTGAAAAGATGCTGATGTGATCTGCAGTCCTTCTTGCATATTCTGCTGTAGCTGGTTCTGCATCGTAATCTTCTTCTCCTTTGTGATGGAGGCAATGGGAAAGCTCCGCACAACTGTCTGCTCACCAACTGTAGAAAGACAGGATACAGACTCAGCAACAGCACTTTATGGCTCAGTTCTAGAGTCTCTGTTGCTTCCCTGAGCATAGAGAGAGGAAATATCCAGGAATGCAGTGAGAGAAAATGCCATGATTCTAGAATCTCATTCATTAGTTTTATTTCATGACAAGTCATTCCTGAGACACAATCCTTTCCCAGAGTCAAGGAACTTTCACAGCCTGCCTGCCTTCATTCTTTCTTTCTCCCCAACCTGCTTTGTGCCACATGGTATCACTTGGTTTAAGACAATCTTACAGGAAATGAGGTTTTATACAGAAAAAAGTATTCCTCATATGTTGAAAAGTCATCCAAGATATTTAGTGTAGGAATAAAGCAAAAGAGAACAGGTTTTTAAAGTTTGTATCCATATGAGGTAAAAGGTGCTATAATATGTATATGACAGGACTACAGGATTGAACTAGGCCCAAGATTTTTAGGAGTTTAATTTTTTTTGGAGACAGGGTCTCACTCTAGCTCACTCCAAGCTAGAGTGCAGCCTATATAAGAAAATTTATATAAAATTTTTATCTAAAGCGTCATCATACCTCACTGCAACCTCAAACTCTCAGGCTCAAGTGATCCTCCTGCCACAGCCTCCCAAGTAGCTAGGACCACAGGCACACGCCAACCATGCCCTGCTAATTTTTCTAATTTTTTGGTAGAGACAGGGGTCTCACTATGTTGCTCAGGCTGATCTCAAACTGCTGGCCTCAAGCAATCCTCCCGCCTCAGCCTCCCAAAGTGCTGGAATTACAGGCATGAGCCACCATGCCCAGCTGAGTTTAACTGTTAAAGCAAGAATGTGACAATATAAATAATTATTTATCGACTACCTGAGGTTATGAAGGTAAGAATCTAGGAAAAAAGTAGCGCACACAAAGCTTCCCTTGGAGAGCTTCCAATTTCCCATGGGAGGAGAGTCATATGCAGAATATAATAACGTGGTTAGCTCCCACCTTTGAGGGAAGAGACTACAAGGATTTAAATATTTCAGAAAAGGAGATCTCTGTATGCTGGATGGACAGAAAAGGATTTCTGGAAGAAGTGAGAGGGAAGGTGAGCTTTGGAGAGAGTATAGGATTTGAATTTGCAGAGGGGAAGAGGAAGAGCATGTAGGCAGTGGTATAGGTAACATAACAGGAGCTGTAATAAATAAGGCCTTGCAGCTAGTAAGCCAGGGTGGGAAGGAGGTGGGGAGATATTTAAACTTGGTTTATTTGACTTAAGAGCTCACACATTTATTCATTTATTGTCATCAGAATTTCTCATTCCCTGGATCTGTCAATTCCTAACCTGGAAAATTCTGACTATCCTCTTACATCAAGTCCATACCCAGAGGATAAGCAAAGTCAGGATGTACACAGGATTTAAGTTCTAGGATGTATTAAACAACCTATGCTTATATAACACATGTGAAGCTATCGGATTTCTATGTCTGTAATTATAGGAGAAATTTTAAATTGGAAATTTAAAAAGAAATAAAAAGCAAATAAAAAGATTTTCTTTGATAAAAATAATTTTCCTAAAAAGTGAAATTAACCCAAAATTTGAAAGGAAAAAACAAGAGAATGGCTTTTTCTTTAAAAGAAATAAATTACAACAATTTAAATGACCACATAAATATCTCATGTAATTATGTACAAGAAGTACGTTTATGGTTATTAATCTCACAAAAGGCCTACTTACTACAAAAAAATTATAAGTACTATATATTTAGTTTCTTTTAAAAGTACTTTTGCTTTCAAATACAATGTAAATTATGTATACAGCAATATGACAAAGAGGGCTGAGATTTTGCTTTGTGTTTCACTTTTTCAAAATAAGCACAGCTATTCCTATGAATTCATCTTTATTGAAATTCTCTACTCTTTGCTTAAGCAAAAGCAACTTTTTGGTAAGCAATGTTTTATAACTACAGTCTTGATTCTATCCAACCTAGGAATGATATAACTGTTAAGATTTTAAAGATAATACATTTTATACATCTGAATTCCATTGTCCAATAAAATGCACAGCATGTAGTTCATATTCATCAAATGCTATGGAATAAATAATTTCAGAGGAGAAAGGAACTTTAGTGACCATTTAGCCCACTAGTTCTCAATCCTCACTATTCATCACCGTCACTTGTGGGCTTAAGAGATGTACTGATGCCTGAGTCTCCCCATTCCTACTGCTTTAGATTCTAATTCAATTGTTTAAGGGGTGGGCCCAGAAACTGGTATATATATTTTTTTAATGCTTTCCAGCTAATTCAAATATACAGCCAAGATTAAGAACCACTGCATTATCACCAATGAAAACCCAATTCCCTAATTTTATAGAAGAGGAAAATGAAGTCCAGAGAGGTTAGGTGACTTAAGCTATCAAGACTGGTCAACAGCAATTCAAATCTGAGCTTTATGACTTGGAGTCCAGTAGTTTTGCCCAAAAGCTTATGTGCTTTGCCCATCAATAAGAATATTTATATAGAGATTACAGTGAATTTAAGACAATAATGCAGATTACTTTTGGATAAGGCATGCTATTCCTTTCTAATATAGAAGGTTGTATAGAGTAGTAGAAAATAGAAGCTATGGGAATTTGGTGAGTGGAAGAGAAGTTGTTTTCTAAGAGGGAAGTGGGGTTAATTGAAATAGGGTAAAAAGGAAGTGGGATTAGTTAGTGCTGTATAACCCTGTGATGCTTAGTATATTCTTCCACAGAAAGGATCATGTGTCTGGAAGACCTTAGCTTTATAGTTAACTATAGGACTCAGAAAGCTGGGGCAAATCAGCAGAGGACATATTTAGCAATTAGATACAGTGACTATTCCTAGGTTACAATATGAAATTATGATAGTTTCAGCAAATGAACACTTGATTTATTGTTTAGAAGATATCCTTTATTCTTCAAGTAAAAATCTATGACCCAAATTATCATTAGCTTTGACAGACAAAAGTATCCCCCAAAATACCTGTGTGGCAAAAAGCTTGCTTTGGATTTGAAATTATGTACAAACTACTGTGCACAGACTGAATCAAAACCTCATGTACCACACAGATACCCGTGTATCATGAGTCACACCTAGCTGATCATGGGGAGTCCCTCTGAAGAGAATTCTGTACGTGGTGAGGAACAAGGCTCCTTCTGCTGGGAGGAGCTGAGGACCTCCAAGAAGACCTCCAGCGGCTTCTTCTCTTCCATCAGGATCCAGCAGGACTCGAAGGCCTTCACAAACAATTTCTTCTCCTGGCAGCAGAGCAGGTCTAAGAATCTTGGGCTTACAACAGAGAAAGTATTTTAAATGCAACCTATGTAGGGTTTGTAACACTTAGACTAAGGTTATCTTTTCAGTTACAGACCCAAAAAACTTAGACCAGACTCCTGAGATAGTCAAATGAGAAAGCAGATTTGGTAAGAGGTAGAAATGAAGTTTGTACATGCAAGTATGAAAGGATTCTTTTCAGAATTGCTTGTTAACAGTAAAAACATTGGGAAATAACACGAACATTTGAAATATCCATTCAATGGAACATTTTGCAACCTTTAGTAAAAATGACATAGACCTATATGTGTTAACATAGAAAGATGTCCAGAATACATTGTTAAGTAAAAAAAAGCAAGTTGGAAACCAGTATGCATATTATGATCTCATTTTTGGAAAAAGAAAAGAAACTGTTAAGAATATAAACTAAACTCTTAACGGTAGTGCTACTATGGTTAAAGGTGGAGGTAAGGGAGGGGTAGGGAGGACTACTGAGGACATTCACTTTGGACAATGTATATTTCTTTCATTTTTGAATTTTATATAAAGAACATTATTACTTTCATAAATTGAAAAAACAAATACTTAAAGAAAATGGATGAGTTTTTTTAAAGACCTGTCCTTCTTGGCCATGTAATGAACATTTATATAACTTAGGAAATCTTGACTCAGTCAGTATGCTTTATATGAGGAACCATATGACATACTCCCCTGAAGAGTTTAGAGATAGGGAAAAAAAAAATCTCCCCTGAAGGTCTAACATGTTTATTTATTACTAAGCAATAAAAACTATATAAATCAGACTATTGTTTTTCTGGCTCTAAGAAGCTTAGAGCTAAACGTAAAGCCAAAGTATAATGATCACTGCATCTCAGGTTTCTGATAAAATTCTCTTTCCTACCTATTTGGCTTCTGATCTCTCCTTTGAATTTTTTTTTAATAGTTCTTTTAGTTAATAGTTCTTTTAGTTCTTTAATAGTTCTTGAACTGTATTTTCGGCACTTCATCTTTATCCAACCATTGTGCTGAATGCTTGTGATTTTAAAAAAGAATCCATTTTTCATCATGTGTAATAATACGGTGTAGAAATGGTTCGCCTCTATCAGCAAGAGGATCCTGAACCCTAGTCTACTGGTGCTGGACTTGCTGCAAACTAATCATCTGGGAGGCTTGTGAAAATACAGATTCCCAGGTCATGACCCAGAGTATCCCAATTCAGGAGGCTGGGGTGAGGTTCAGGACTGAATTCTTACTAGACTTCCCAGCTGCTTCTGATGTACAGCCAGATTCAGGGACCTAGTGTTTTTTTTATGGTAATTGCCTTAAATCCTTTTTTGGGGGGAAGTAAGCACAGCATAAAATCTTGCATTGGGCTTAGAAGTTAGAACTGCTCATAATTTATGCCCTACCTATAAAAGTAGACTCAACAAGAGGTCATTACTGCTCCTTTGTTGAATCTAAGAAAAGATACCATCCCTATTTCTGTATCCTTTTTATAAGGTTCTATATGACGAACTCCTCTAAAAGTTTAATATATCATTAAAACTGGAGCTGGTCTCTGCTAAAGGTTAAGAGAAGGTATTTTCTGGAGCACAACAGTCTATTATTTGTTTTTAAGAAGAGATGTTATACGCTGTAAGTAGTTTGGAATAATTACCTTCTGTATAGGTGGAAGTCTTCTGCTTTCTCGATGTACTGCTTCTAGGGTCTCAATGTGCATAGCTACAATTCCTAGGTTGAGTCACAGTATTCAAATGAAAGAGCACAAAACAAGCAGAATAAGAAAAAATTCTGTATATTTTAGAATTAAAAACTAATCAAAGTATAGTGGTTCCTCAAAAAGTTAAACTTAGAATTACCATGTGACACAGCAATTCCACTCCTAGGTATATACCCAAAGAAATGAAATCAAGGACACAGATACTTGTATGTGAATGTTCGTAATAACATTATTCACAATAGTCAAAAGGTGGAAACAACTGAAGTGTCCATCAACAGATGAATGGATAAACAAAATGTGGAATATCCAGACAATAGAATATATTTAGCCATAAAAAGGAATGAAGTTCTGATACATGCTATAACATGTATGAACCTTGAAAACATGCTAAGTGAAATAAGCCAGATACAAAAGTACAAGTATTATATGATTTCACCTACATGGAATATCTACAGTAGGCAACTTCATAGAGGCAGGAAGTAGATTAGAGGTTACCAGGGGCTAGGGCATGGGGAAGCAGGAGTTATTGTTTAATGGGTAGAGTGTTTGTTTGGGGCAATGGAAAAGTTTTGGAAATAGATAATGGTGATGGTAGCACGAAATTGTAAATGAAATTAATGCCACTGAATTGTACACTTAAAAATGGTTAAAATGGAAAATTTTATATTATGTATGTATTTTACAACACTACAAACATTAAAAAACTATCAGAAAATAAATATTTAGGTTATTAAACATGAAATGTCTGATTTCAAATCAAAAGTGTAGTTTATTATATCTCAAACAAGAAGTAGTACAATTAATCCAAGTATGTCCCTAAACTATCGACACAGTTTTGGCATCTTAACAGTAGCTTGTTTATGCCAGCAGCAAAGAAGCCTGGAGAGCAAGTGGCAATCAAATTATGAAAGGTGTTTTCCACAGCTTGTTGAGCACTGAATACTCTTCCTTGCAAGAAGTTGTCCAAAGCCTGAAGAAGTGGTAGTCAGTTGGTGCAAGGTCTGGTGAATACAGTGGATAACAGAGTTTCCAAGTCCAGCTTCTGTAGTTTGAGCAGCGTTGTTTGTGCAACATTGTGGTTAAGCGTTGTCTTGCAAGACGATTGGCCTGTCTCTACTGACCAATCTTGGCTACTTCATTGCAAGCATCATCATCGTTTTGTCCAATTGGTTGCAGTAGACATCTGCTGTAATTGATTGTCCAGGTTTCATGAAGCTGTCGTGGATAATACCAGCGCTCAACCACCGAAAGACACCATTAGCTTTTTTTTTTTTTTTATTTCAGCATGTTATGGGGGTACAGATGATTAGGTTACGTATGATGCCCTTACCCTCCCTCCCCCGCAAGTCCGAGCTTCAAGTGTGTCCATTCCC